AAATGCAGCAGCTAACTATATCTATTTGTGGCCACTCGACGGCTTTTTATTTCGTGTTTTGAGATACCTGCATGCTTGCCGGGTGGGCAGTTGGTTTTAACTCGGCGTCACAGGCATTGCATTAATTTTTTTAATGGGATTTGATATATGTTTTTTAGGGTTAATGGCACTATAGTTTCTCCTACCTATGTACTCTCCCTTGTTTTTGGCAACGCTTATATAACCTGATAAAGTTTTCAAAATTTGCACTTAAGTATCCTAAACTTTTGCAGACTTGCACTTGAATACTCTTCAGTTATGCAAAGCTTATGCAAGCTAGAGGGTATTTAAGAGCAAGTTTTGTAAACTTTAGTGTATTTATGTGCTAATTTTAAAATTTTCAGCGGTATTTAAGTGTTCTTTTAAAAGTTTAAGGGGTATTCAAGTGTTGTAGAATCAAGTGATTACATGTAAGTGCAAGTTTTAAAAATTTTATTAGGCTATGTAAGTACTATAAAAAATAAGTGTGTATATATAAGTGCGGGAAACTAAAGGGTGTATAAGTTCCATTAAGCCTTTTTCCATTTTATTTTTATCATTTTGGGTATGAAGTCCTGCCTTTTTCCTTATCTGTCTATACTAATTTAGAAAGAACCAAATAGGGGTAGGAATAATATGGATGAGTAGCGGATAAATAATATTTTTCAATTGTTTGCAAAAGGGTAAAATTATAATTTTCTAAGGGATATTATTTTCTCTCTTTTCCATAATCTCTCTAAAACATTTTATGTAATTAAGTAAAGCATGATGTGTTTCTCTTTTCTATCTTCTTTCTTTATAGAACGATCTATGTTACTCAAATGCTATGAAATATATAAAAATATAGCCTGCATAATTGAATATTATTTTAATATTTTATGTTATAAATATAGAAAGAGCTCGAGTACACTTGCACTACAATTTATTTACACTAGCTTTATATCTATACTACAAATTATTTATATTAATATACAATGAAAACAATGCGGAGGAGATAATTAACAAAGGATTTCAAGCTCAAAAAAAAAAAAAAAAAATTTCTCCGAAAATTCAGTGACCCCGTACTATTTTCTTTCGCATGTGTCAGAATTCTAGTACGAAAGTAAGTTATTAATATCTGAGAAGTAAGGTACCCGTATCAAATTCCGGGAGTCCGTAAAGTTAGTTCTTCAAAAGCGATTATTTATCGAACCAAAACCTATTCTCCTCTCATATACTACTCGTGTGGAGAATTCCGTGGAAGCTGGTGATATTTGTTTTATATCGCGGATGAATTATTGGCTGAAATGATGATGCCGCATGAATTCTACAACGACAAGTGCTCGGGAGTCAACAACGAAGCTTCGGGATTGAAAGAAGACAGCAATGCGCATATTTTTGCTATGGGGACCCAGAATAGAAAAATTCCTTAAGGACCTAAAATATGGGACCAATAGAGGGGACAAGTGAGGTGTCCCCCTCCTATTGGATAATGAGTTGGTCATCATTAATGATAGCCAACTCATTATCCAATAGGAGGGGAACATCTCACTTGTCTCCTCTATTGGTCACATATTTTGGGTCAATGTAGCAAAGCTCCCCAGAATATGGGACCAATAGGAGGGACAAGTGAGGTGTCCCCCTCCTATTGGATAATGAGTTGGCCATTATTAAAATATGGGACCAATAGGAGGGACAAGTGAGGTGTCCCCCTCCTATTGGATAATGAGTTGGCCATTATTAATGATGGTCAACTCATTATCTAATAGGAGGAGGACACCTCACTTGTCCTCTCTATTGGTCCCATATTTTGGGTCCTTGAGGAATTTTTCATATTTGGAGACTTCCAACTTACCTTCAGAAGTCATGTTTTCGGTAAATTACAAAACTTAACCCCCTGCAATCAAAGTGTTATTACTGCTTTTGAACGGAGGCAGGAACGAGGTGACCCGCTGGACCACGTAACTAATAATAATGAGACTAATAATTCAATCACTCCTCCACTTTAAACCTTCAGAAGTAGGTTTATTGTGCCTTTCCTCTTTCTCTTTCTGTGCGAAGCCTAATGGCCCACATTTCTCTTCATGAAATTAAATCGATAGAAATGTTAGGGGCACACCCCAAGTCACACCTCCAACCACACCTCCCCCTCTCATTCGCTACAGTACTCCGGGCCCCACATGAGTTTTTCAAATTTAAAAACTCATGTGGGGCCCGGAGTACTGTAGCGAATGAGAGGGGAGGTGTGGTTGGAGGTGTGATTTGGGGTGTGCCCCTAACACCACTCTTAAATCGAAGTTGTGCCTCTTATTACACCCGGAGAGAATATTCGCTAATCTCTAATCACGTGCGCTGTACGTGTTGCAATTTTCTTGTTTAAGCTAAGAGGTTAGAGTTTATAAAAGTTTGGTTTTCGAAGTAAAGTTATTTAGACATTATCTTTTCTTGATTTTTCAGAGTAAATTGGACTGACACTAAGTTTTATAGAAAAAAAATACCGGTTAAATAATGAACTTCTCGGAAACTATTATTTTGTTAATCTCATTATTTTGGACTTCAAAAAAAATAAAAAATTATATCGACTTTAGGTGGTAATGTAATTTTTCTTAATTCTGAACCTCCAGTGTAGTTTTTTTTATTTAAAAGTTTGGTCTTCAAAGTAATTTTTATCGAGTTTATAATATTCTCGACTGAAAAGAAAATTTATTTTAGAGATCGGGGGTTAATAATATATTTTTTAAGAACTAAATATTCTTTATTTTTGTTTAGAATAAGTATTATTATTATTTTTTAAAAATAAGGGTAATTGATAAATTCCCCGATTACTTTTTTCCGTAAAACTTTATTTTCTAGACTTTAGAATAACTTTTTGGGATTTAGGGGAACCTAAATTTTCTTGAAACTAAACCTCCTGAATAATTTCTTAATTTTTTAAAATTTTGGATTTTAAAGTAAACTTTTTTCTTGTATATTTTTAACTATGTAAATTATTATGGACATAAAACTAATGTTTCTTGTTTATAAAGGGCTTAATAAAAGCTTCCATAATTGTAAATAGTAACATTTGATCGTATTGTAGATTAATCCCTCTGAAAGTAAGTAATCTTCTGTCACGTTTACTGAGAGAAACTGTACAAAGTTATTGAAAACTAAAAAAAGTTATCGAAGTCATATATTTTTCAGGTAACTTGTAGATTAATACCCCATCATTTATCTACTCAGCGCTTTTATCACTTCTCAACTGATTTCTGAGCGCTCATTACCCTCAATTCTATTTTTAGTTATACAGTCTCTCTCGATAATTAAACATGATAAATGATTACTTACATGTAGAGGACTTGTACTATTTATTGCAATTCACCAATCCATCATCATTTAGTAGTGAACATATAACATGACTAACTGTTTTGGGTTGTTCCATAATTGCATAAAATATAACTTTCCACTAAATAAAAATAGCTTGCACAAAAAGCTTGCAAAAAAAAAAAAAAAAAAAAAAAAAAAAAAAAAGCAAAATCGCAACATAGTGGTGGGCTCGAGCGTTTTAATGTCTTCGCAAGGTTTAAACTGGCCATGGCGCTAAGATGAGACCAACTATGAGATAGCAAAATTAAAATGACAAATATTTAAAAGACTATTTAAATTTATTATCAATGAAAAAAAAAATGTAGAAATAGAAAGGAAAGGAAAAGATCAAATCTTTCAAAAACATAAATAAACAAATCAAAAGTTAAAGAGAAACATGAAGGGAAAATTGTGTCAAGGCCCCAAAAGCAACATAGTTGCCACGTAGTTAGTTATAAGGGAAAATTGTGTCAAGGCTCCAAAAGCAACATCTTCATGTGCTGCAGCCCCTTCACTTTTCCCCCATGTGGTTCAGCCCCAAGAAGTGTGACATATTGTGCTGCAGCCCTCTTTTAGCAATTATTACCTGTCAGCTAAGCATAGAGAGAGAGAGAGGATAAAAAGTACAAAATACCAAAATGCCCTTATCTACTCTATTCTTTCATGTTAGGTCTATTTAGAGTTCATGTTAGGTTTATTTAGAGTTCTTGTTAGGTCTAATTTCAGCTCAATTTAATTCATATTAAGTCCAATTTCATGTTAGGTCTAATTTCATGTTAAGTCCAATTTAATTCATATTAAGTCTAATTTAATTCCTTTTAAGTCTAATTTAAATCATGTTATATCTAATTAAACTTGTTTTAAGTCTAATTTAATTAGACTTAACATGAAATTAGACTTAAAAAAATTAAATTAGACTTAACATAATTCAAATTAGACTTAAAAGGAATTTAACATTGATTGAAATTAGACATAAAATTTTGTGTAAGGTATAATAAAAGTTCGTGTTAAGTCTAATTCATGTTAGGTCTAATAAAAATTCGTGTTAAGTCTAATTTTATATTAGGTCTAATAAAAGTTCATGTTAGTTCTATTTCGTGTTTGTGTTAGTTCTAACTCATGTTAGGTCTAATTGGTGTTCATGTTAGTTCTATTTCGTGTTCGTGTTAGTTCTAACTCAGTTCGTGTTAGTTCTAATTCATGAATTAGAACTAACACGAACTGAGTTAGAACTAACACAGTCCGTGTTAGTTCTAATTCATGAATTAGAACTAACACGAACTGAGTTAGAACTAACACGAACACGAAATATAACTAACACAGTTCGTGTTAGTTCTTATTCATGAATTAGAACTAACACAAACTGAGTTAGAACTAACACAGTTCGTATTAGTTCTATCATGAATTAGAACTAACACGAACTGAGTTAGAATTAACACGACCACAAAATAGAACTAACACAGTTCCTGTTAGTTCTAACTCATGAATTAGAACTAAAACGAATTGAGTTAGAACTAACACGAACACGAAATAGAACTAACATGAACACCAATTAGACCTAACATGAGTTAGAACTAACACACACACACGAAATAGAACTAACACGAACTTTTATTAGACCTAACATGAAATTAGACTTAA